ATGAACTCCAGAGTGTCCAATAAAGCCTTTTATTTCCCCTTTTGTACAGCTGAAACACGGGCTGAAACACGGGTGTGTGGTGGCAACATTCAGCTTCACAGTTGCAGTGACACAAGCAACCAGCAGCTCCTCTGTAATTACACCTGCCTGCAGATACCTCAACAATGCAAGCAAATCACAAAGACAAATCATCATTAAAATGCTATTTTCTTCTGAAACATCAACCAAATCTCATTTATTCTGACCTTTAAAAGAAAATAAGAAGACCATCCTACAGAACTAAACAAACTATCAGATGTGTTCAAAAGTAACCAAGGTAATATAAGGCAATATAACCACACAATCTAAAAGGGCAAATATTTTACATCTAATATTTTAAAGTTAACTTAAAAAAAAACAACAACTTTTTTCGAAGATAATTTCCTAAAAATATACTTCAGAAGCCACTGTTCCACAGGCAAGAAAAAAAACAACACTTTGCTTTTCCTGAGTTCATAGTTTGTTGGAGCTTCAGTTTCAACAAGTCAGAGGAAACTTTCTGTAGTTCGCTAAACTACAGAAATTGTGGAGAGAACCATAGACATAATGAAGAGTAGACGCCGCATTGGCTGCTTCGGCGCAGGAAATACGGCGGCCATCTTGGAGCAGTCCTCCGTCCTACTTGGCTAAACCAAACAGTAAAAGGGGGCTCAGCACTGCTGATGGATCAGCTATTGATTTGAGGGCTCGGGGGATAACTCGTCACAAAAAAATGTAACATATTATTGTTTATATTTTGTGAATAGAATATTAATGTACTGTATTTATGTCAACCAGCAAAATGCCAGCTGAGGTGAGGCATTGTTTGTGTAGTTCAGGGGTTCAGCTCCAGCTATGAAGGCTAACAGTGATTTTGTAAATCCTAAAATGTTTGAATTATTCCCCAACGTTTATTTAGATTATCTGACACAAGAGTGCTACCTTAGAAATAAAACAATATTATGCATATTATTATAATATTTATATGTGAACACAATCATTCAGAGGAGGAGGGCTCAAAAACTCAAAAGCAAGTGGAACTCTACTAAATTTGATTATTTTATTTTAACTGGACATTCTGCAGAACTAGCAAATCACATTAACCATCAATATGAGGACAGACTCAGCTTTCCCGTTCGTCCTGTAGTCGGATGTTTGACCCGTTTTCCTTGAACTCTCTTCAGGTTGGATTTCATTACATTACAATGCTCAATTTACAATCATCCAGCAACATTTGGTGGTCTTCTTTAATAGATTACTTTTTCCTTTGTGCCATTTTATGATATGCTCTATCCATATTACTGTATTGAAAATTAATTTTACTGAATTGTATTCATTTTGGTGTGAATCTCCCTCTGTCTGGCTGAATTTAGACTGAATTCTTTAACATATATTTGAAAACAAACTGGCTCTTTCAAAGTGTCACTTTTATTGTGGGGTGGGAAGAAATAAAATGGAAATGACTGATTTTAATCAGTGTGTTAAAAACCATATTTTTCTTAATACTGTGGACTAAAAATAACATTCACATATAATGACTGTTTTTTTTAGATGTTTCTATTTAAATCTGAAGGAGGTCTTATATTTTGTGCTCTATGGCAGCTCAAAATTGAATAGCTCATGTGGAACAAAGTGACCTTTGCATCAGCATTTGGGTGACACTGGGCAAAAATGAAAATGTAATGTTTGGAACTACTTGGGAATCTGTGGTTTTTGTGACAAAGTTAAGGAAAAACTAATTTATCTTCTGTTTATTTCTTCCCTCAGATGTTGCACTTCTTCTTCTTAGATAACGCCAGTGGCAGCAGGGAGATCTGGTAAATCACTTCCTGCACTAGTCTGTGTAGAAGACAGTCAGCCATAAGCTGACCGCCCCACTATCTCGGCCAGATGAATCTCAAACGCACAGATCAGGTAATATTCTGCACTTAAAGCTGGCATTTAAGAAACATTCCTCCACCACAGGCAAAAACGGTGCATGGCTTGGCATTTAGAGGCGGATAATAAAACTTTCCTTAAATACAGCTCTCATCTCAGAGTGCTTTTTAGATGCCCTTAGTGGAGTCAATTATCTCCCCACACTTGCTATTACTGAGACACTCTGAGCACCTCGCGCCTTAAAAGGTCCGTGAATCATGCTTTCTGAAAAATGTCACATTCTTAACTGCCTCTCAAAATGCAGACCCTGCCATGTAAGTGGTGGCGAACACGTGTTGGCTTTTTTCATCCATTTTTACTTACCTGTGCCTTCTTAATATGCTAGATGAATTTAAAGCAAATAAAATTCTTCTTATTTAGAAAACAATTCACTCTACACGTAACAATGTGTTATTTTCCACTGCCAAAATAAGAGATGATCAAAAGTAATGCGTTGAAAAGTTATTGAACAGATTTTTTTTCTGATTCCTGACTGGGTAAATAAAGTTGAGATTTATTTTTATTTAACCAATGAAACGTCCTGTTGCTGTGAGGCAGAGTCCTGCAGCTTCTCCTGTTTGATGTGAATAAGTGGGAGGGCAGCATAGGAAGCTACAGCATTCACTACATGCTACATGCATGGAAGGAGAAGCAGCCGTCTCTGAGGGAACAGACTGAATGTTTTAGTGCTCATGTTTAACATGGCTTGTTGTTCTTTCAAGAGATGGTTACCTCTTGAAAGAATACAGGAAAGCCTAAAAAATACATTTATTTATAGCACAAACATAATCTCATTATTTACAAAACTCCAGCCTTTTACTTGAGGGCATATATTTAACCCCGTAAGAAATACTTATTGGGTTTTTACCCTAACCTCCTACAATTTCAAACAATTAAAGTAAACTTAAGCTTTTTATATTTAAATTTCAGTTTTACATTTTTGAGTTCAGAGTTTCTAGGAACTTCTGACATGTAAACCATGACATCATCTTTCCTTCAAATATTATAAACATGATGTGAGAAAGCTCACTGTTATAAGGACTGCAAGATTTATACCTGGGGCTACCAGATCTCCATATCAACCATCAGACAGCATCTACACAAGAACATGTAACCATTTTATTATGTTTCTGCTCCGAGTAAGGAGAGATCCCTGGTCACACCATAAGAAAAAAGCTCAGAAAACTTTCAACTTGTTCCGGTAATCTCTGCTCAAATGAGGCAACGAAGCACCACAATGCAGAAAGCTGTTCTGAACCCACTAGCCAACAGAAAAGCATCACTATCTCCAAAGCATTTTGGATCTGAATCAGGTTCAGTGGTTTGTGAACCTGGTGATCTTCTAACTGCCTACAGAATGAGGAACACTTGTATGTTTTGCTAAACAGCTTTTCTTAAAATCTATTTTTCTTTAACTGTACCGCTGAATATTAAAAGTCATATGGAAAATCCACTTGAAAAGAAATTTGAATTTAATGGATTGTTATCCAGGGACCACTTAACATTTACAGAGAGCTATAACCTTTCAATTTTGCTCATAATTGAATGTTTCATTTTTGTGACTCAGCATTTAAAACATACTTCTTGTAATTTACTTCAGCTGCTCCAGCATCAATCAGCCTTTAAACACACAAAGAGCAGGCGGAACGAGGAAGAATGCAGCCTTCTGATGACAAATAAAAGAAGAAATCTATTTTCATTTCGACAGAGAGGCTTCAACTAGTTATCATATAATGCGATTTAAAACAGAAACAACCAAAAAGGAGACAGAGAATTCTCATGGCAGGATTACCTCCAACCCTCATAGTTGCATGAAATCAAAGTTATTTCAGGGAGCCAATCAGATCTCTCTTCTCACATGTACAACTTTTTGCATTGAATGTGTTTGCTGTCATTTAAAACACCAAAAAGATACAAAGAGTGCCATCAAGAAGAACCAATGAAGCCCAAAGCATTAACCTCCACCACCATGCCTGCTGTTTGTATAGTAATGCATAATGCATGCTGTCCTCAGCACTATTGTCAAACTGGATGTCTTCTGTTTAAAGGACCTTATTTCAGAAGGTTCATACAAAGACAAACCAAGTATTTGTTTTATAGAGAAGAGGCTTTCTTCCTGCATAACAGGAGGAATCATCAGTAAAAGACACTGAACATGAGGGAACAGTTTTCATTTTTCAATATCTTTTGAATGATTCTGTCATAAACATACTAATGAGGTCAGTAGAGTCTGAGATGGAGTTTTTCAGTTTTATGAAACCTGGGAGTGAAAGTTGCTGAAACTGCTGAGAATACCGGCTTCTGTTATCACTTAGGAACAATCCTTTTCCCTGAACAACTAAGTAATGCATTTGGAAATAGTCTTCCAACCCTCCAAGACTGAGGAAACTGTTTCTGATTTTTTTTTTTTTTTATTTGAGGTTAAATTAAAATTATTTAACAAATCTTGTACTGTGTCTTGATCTGTAAATTGTAGAAGTGAAGCTGTATTTAATTTTGTTTCCAAACACAGAACATCTTGTTTTTCTTCTTTTTTTTTTTTACCATAAAGTACTGACATAATGTAGTTACACTTTCAGTAGCTTATACTTCAATGTTCTCTGGTAATGCCTGCTTCTTTTCAAGAAGGAAAACAAATCAAATACCTCATCCCCTATATGCATAAATATGCAAAACATAGTTAAACTTGGTTGAAATGGAGTCCGTTCTCTGCCAGACAGTCCCACTACATCTGCCTAATATACATCAAGAAGACAGAAAAATATTGTACACTCAAACAATCTATATGAAAGACTGAAGCATGGCTCACAATAGCAGCCATGACAACACGTGTCCATATACAATTTTATGCATGTAAAGGTATTACTAAGATTACCTTACTTGTGAACAGTTTAACCCAAATTCAAAAACCTTGGCTTAACTCTTGCAGATTACTTGACACACAAAACAAAAACTGAGATTAAAAACACATATTTGTTTGTGTTATTTCGACCTTTTAAAAGTTCCTTAATGCAATAGGCAACTAGCACACCCACAGCATTTCTGCACAGACCACTTCCACTCACCTTGGATGATGATGTGTCACATTCCTGGCAGATCCAGCCATATCCTGTCTGCTTGGGGGATTTCTTTAGCGGGGGATCCAGACACCCGAAGTGATAACAGAGCTGGCACTCATCACACCTGAGGCACAAGACAGGAAGGGCCCGTGTTATGTGTCACATAAATAATGCTGCTGCCCTCCTTCAATCAAACCAGCGGTTCTGGAGAGGTGATGGATGATAACAAGGCAGCAAGCTGTCACCCATGAGACTTTGCTAATGTATTTCTACCCCTCTTTAATCACTGTACTCCCTTGACTTTACACAGCCATGCACTGTTCAGTGGTTTTTCTAAGTGCCCTGATAAATACAGGTCTTGTTAGTGTCAGAGAAATGCTTGTTACATCTCCCAGGGCTGGACTGTTTCTTCAAGCTCATGAGAAGCGACACAACTCCAACAACACAACATGAAAAACCTGCTATACATAAAAAAACAAAAACAAATATGGCACAAAAACTTTAACCCATCTATATCTATAAATGCTAAAAGGGAAGTTAAGAATGATAGACCTTTGCGGTGGTAACTTTTTATTATGTAAAGCACTTTGAACTGTCTTGCTGCTGAAATGTGCTATACAAATAAACTTGATTGATTGATTGATTGAGAACTTCCTTTATTTGCTCTGATCCATCATTAGTCAGTCATTATAATAATTCAGATGCGTTATGCTTTTACTAACCTATTTTCGGAGAAAAAGGCATGAAGAGAAAAAATAATGAATCCAAAATTTATGGTTTTGGAAGGACTTCTTCCTTTCAGTTGTCCTTTTCTCTTAGTCAGCACTGCAAGTGCAGTTTCTTTGACAAAAAATCTGCTTGTAAAATACAGCTGGTATGAATGGTTTTCTGATGACGGGAGGATCTACTTTCAGATGGCTTAAAAAGGATCGCCAGACCTGTTAAAACTGATTTTCTGTGAACTGATGATTGTAGAGTTTTGGGGAATAAACTCCAACTCTTTTCTCATTCAGTATTTGGATGAAAAACTGTAAATTTGTACAGAAAAATAAATTAGTAGGTAAATCATATTTACTAAAACACAAAAATGTTGTTTTGTTTTAATTTAAAGGGAAAATACTGTTACATTTTAGAACACTGAGACCTATACATATGAAATAAGACATAAAACATTAGCAAATAAAATAACTTTTAAAGCCCTTTTTGACAACAAAAAGGTCTTTGCTGTAATAAGAAGTTATTACCATATACTGATGATGATGTGTCATCTGGATCCATTATACATGATGGATTATTCATGTATAAAGGATACAGACTTTGTTTCTTGATAAAAGAAGATTCCTTTTTAACAGGAATATGTCAAACAGATGTACAGATGCTCATTAAAGATGAAGAAATGGACGTAGTGAAAATTTCTGACAAAAACATCATCATCCAGGGAACAGGTAGGAAAGCACTCTCCTTTCTGATATTTATGTTTAAGTAAATGAATGAAAGAGCTTATCTGCAGCTGCAGTCCGGTTCTGTCAGTATTTTATCTTTTCTTCCATCTATCATATGTGAGGCCTTATCTTGAGGCGACTTTTTAGGGCCAATCAACATGCTGTTGTGAGTATCCTGACTGCAGACATAGAGACTGACTGGTGTGACAGTAAAGAGATTTGAACAACTGCAATGTTTCTGAATAAAGTTTTAAGTTCTGGGTCACAGAACTGACAGCAGCAGAAGGTCTGGTTCTCTGCTGGTGATCTGTTACTGGGAATGCTGGTGTAAACGCTCACTTATTGAGCACTTTGATCTTCGGAAGTTTGTGATATAATAATAATAATAATAATAATAATAATAATAATAAACTTAATTTGTACCGCACTTTTCATTACCAAAAATCTCAAAGTGCTACACAGTGCAACTATACCAAACACAAATAACCACATTCCATATACTGCAGGTTTCACATCTTCTGCACCAAGGCCTGGGTCTTTCATGCTTTTTATGTTGTTGTTTTTTTGTTTGGTTTTTTTATATCTCTTTATTTCTGTCATGAGAATGAATACACAGAAACTACTGTGAGCCTAAAACAATCAGAAAAAGATTAAATATAATTTATGCCTATTAAAGATAAAATGGTCAGTTATGATTTCAGACATTTACCTTCACTCTAACTCCACATGGTGCTGAAAAACTGCCCAGACTCTATTATCCCCCTTTTCCCTGTGTTTTGTCCAGTGTTTTTCTTTTTGCCCTTAAATCCCTTACACTGCCCTTCTGTCTACTGTAATGAAGATGAATGGACTTTGTGGTTGACCTCCCTGGCTGTTCCTGTTATCAGATTTTCATTGAAGATTGTGAACCTCCTACATTGATTAGAACATAATTGGCTCTAATTGTAAAGTGAGTGTTCACTAGTCTGATGGAGGTTATTGAGAGATGGTCAGCATCATAAATGAGAAGAAGAAAATGTCTGCTCTCTTTGGGATTCAGCTGAATCTTGTTAAAGACTCCAAGCCTTTTAAAAGTGGTCATTGTGTGCTAAATAAACTGACATTGTTCAGTAATTTACAGTTGGTAATTATTTCACTGGCCCACCAAACAGTGCATTTAATGGACTTTTTTTTTTTCAAACTTTTTTTCAGCCAAAAAATAAAGCCGTAGTTTGCTTCAAGCTGACTCTTTGTCTACATGAACTATGAAGGCTTCGTCTAAACAGAACCTTTCAGAAGCTTTTACATCATAGTGCTGTGATAAAAATCTGTTGTGATCACAGGCCGTGTAGGCTTTCAGAACATGCAGCTGGGATTGTGGAACACAGCAGCTTTGACATGAGAATTTACAGAAAACATGTGCTGGGTGTTTCCCCTGTACCTAATACCAGCTGGCTCATTTCTGTCACAAGTCCTCTGCTGGCAGTCCAAATGCATCCAACACTGTTGAAACTGTTGTGCTCTAACTGCATCAGATTCTACTGATCTTCATATTTCACACATTCAATCAAAAAATACTTTATTTAATTCAAATAGAAATTAAATGTTGCCGCAACTCATGCTGTCTAAGAATCTTCAGTCGTGCAATTTTAGATATTTTTTTTTATTTTTACAAGAAACATATTTTGTTTGCTTAAAAACACATTTTAGTTCTTCCTTAAAGAGTTTACAAAACAAGGTTAAAATGTGCAGACTGGCTCTGACTAAAGGGTTGTCACAGTACAACCCCACTACTTGTAGCTGAGGACAGACTGAGGACAGCCTGAGGATAGGACAGGCTGAGGACAGAGTGAGGACAGGCTGAGGACAGGACAGGCTGAGGACAGCCTGAGGACAGACTGAGGACAGACAGACCAATGGACATCTACTTGGTTCCTGTCTTATTAGCATTGAACCAAACAGTAGTGATAGAAACATGGGGAATATTCTCTTGAGAACCATTTTTTGGACATGCAGTACAATTTTAGTCCAAATGAATTTACAAATATATCTGTCAAATTCTTCAAAATGTTATGTGGGGATAAATGTGGGGATTGTTTGAAATAGATAAAAGCCTTATGGCAAAAAAGTTGATGTATTGTAAAATTAAAGCAGTGCTGTGTGGGAAGCACGACAAAGACACCTGACATGTTCTGTTTATTATTTAAGGCCAGACGAGTGTCTGGTAATCTGTGCACTGTGGAGCGTTGCCCTCTGGCAGCAGACTAGTGATACCTGTGAAATAGATGGGATAACACAGTGTGGTATTTACAGACTAAGCATGGCCAATTTAGTAAAACCGGAGTAAAATTTTAATTGGCATGGATAATTGGCATCTTATGAGTTGTAAGGGCATAACCTAACAGCTGCTGCACATTAGTACACATACACCACGGCAGGTGCATTTCTCTCTCGCTCTTTGTCTCACACACACACACACACACACACACACACACACACACACACACACACACACACACACACACACACACTGTTAGATGATGTGTGTGATGGGCTGAGCAGGCATATCTAGCCGAGAACCGATGGGAATTTAAAGTGCCCTCTAGCCACCTAGTGAATAGAAGACAAATCACCAAAAGTGCGTGTGCTCTGCTAATGAGCACACTCCTATTGTTGTTCACAAACTGCCAATTGATTTTACATGAATCTCCAACTAAGGCAAAAAGGAAAGACCAAAGTCTTCTGTTTCACAGCTGGAGACCATTGAATAACTCCCAAATTCACAGGAGTGCTCTTTCTATTTAGCCAGACTGTAGTGACTGGACACATGCTTTCCGAATTACTTTAGCAAAGAATCTGACAGATATGAGAAGATCTAAAGTATGTTCTGATGGTATCATTAACTAAACATAAACTTTGTTTTGAAAAGGAATTTTAGTTTTAACCTTTGTATGGAGTTATTGTTAATCAGAGAACCGATGGGCAATTACTGGATTGATTGTTTAATATTATTGATCATATCAATGAGTTAAAATTGATTATGTTTGCAAACCCCCAAAAACGGTGGTCCACTGAAACAGGTTGGTTTTCTTCCTCTTAACAAATAAAATCATCTGAAAACTTTTTTTTCAATATTTACTCAGGTGATCTTTATCCAGTGTTAAAAATTGGTTCATGATCTGAAATATAAAAGCTTGACAGAAAAGTCAAAACAGAGCAAACATTTCACCCAACTAGTGGTCTGAAAAGGTCAATTACTATAAATTCACCTCCATGGATTTACTTTATTTATTTATTTTATTTTATTAGATTGTGACAATCTCAGTTCTCACTCACCGTTAGCGCAGACAAACATTTGGGCTGAATATTTAAAGTGATGAATAAAATCTGCTCTTTGCAGCAGAGACATAAAACAAGGAATTTAAACTGATGAGTCTTGGAGGATGTTCCATTTGGTAGAAGTTAGAGAACAGCTTGTTAAATCTTAAAGCACACTGTTACCTTAGAATTAGGTTTGTAGGCTTTGTTTGAAGTGCAAATTACACAGTGATTTTACAAGTTTTTTCTTTGTGTGTGTGTTTTTGACATGGGTTTTACTTAATATTTTACTAGCATGTATTCTGTATTTTGTCAATGAATGACAGTAAAACACAGTTTGTTTATAAGTCGAGAATGCAAAAAACCCTCAAGAGTTTCCGATCAG